CAAAATAAATGACAAGGCAAGGATTGAAAAACGTGGCCAGTAGGTCATATGCCACGTGGAAGAAGATAATTGGGCTTTAATGTTAATGGGCCAGCCAAATGGTTGCTTTTTGTGGGGTAGTGAGACAGGGCTTTAAAGTGTGTAGGTGGGGTTGCGTGATTAACAAGGTGGTCACATGGACATCCCATGTGTGATAAACTAGGATTCCACATTCCATACATCCACTTCAATGTCTATGCTAGAGTTGGGTCTTCTTCTGCAATTTCAAATACTTCCTTATTTTGTGAAACAGTGAAGAATGGGGATTGGAAAATAAATAAAAAAACTTGTTTTATTTTGATTCTTTAAGAAGCGATGCTTTCTTTGCAAATAGTTACGAAGAAACGTAAAATTAATTTTTTTGGATAATATATGAGAAAAAGCGATTCTTAAATAATCAAAATAAAAGACATATTCTCGTTCGACCGTCTTGGTCAGGTCATTCTAATTTCATTCATCACAACGATGTTTCAATTTGTTCGACTATGTCGTATGTATTCAATCCTAGTTTAAAGGATGCACTTTTCGAATCTCAAGATTCAGCATATTCCCAGCTCAAAATATTTCGTCGATTACTTAAAAAGTTACTCATAATTTTCCGAGAGACTAATATAATGATGAGACAATAATACCGAAACTTAATAGCCGCATAATATATACACTTTTCTTTTACGAAGAGATAATAATAACAAGATAACTGAAGCCCTCATCCTCACAAAATTCCGGGAAAAACATCTCCACGTCAGTCATCCAGCCTCTATGATAGCATAAAACATCAAATCGTCAATCAGAACATGTCAAACGACGCCGTTTGTTGCCTCCAATTCTTCTCATATACTGACGTCATCGTTCTCTGCTTACGGATTCCCGGTAAACACGGTGGCATTACGGATCGAATTAGAGCGAAATTTAAGTCCTTAAAAAACGGGTGGGTCTTGACATCCGCCGCCCCGCGTTTCGACCCAAGTCTCCTATTCGGGTCCTTGTTGAGTAACTGGGATATCAAGTCCCGAGCGTGTATTTCACTCACACTGCACGGCGCGCCGGTGGGGAAAGCTAGCGGCTTTTTTACAATGTCACGCAGTGTGGCCGAATTCGATACACCAGCAAACGGGGTCTCTCCGTAAATCATTTCGTAAATAAAGATCCCAAGGGCCCACCAGTCCACTGCATTGCCGTGGGACCTACCAGAGGCAACTTCGGGCGCCACATATTCGTGGGTTCCAACGAAAGAACAAGACCGGGCGGCAACCGGCTCCGCCACGAACAACCGGTTGTTGGAGAATGACTGGATCTTCTTTGACCGGAACAGCCGGTCGGAAATGCAGGAGAACGGTGTTAGTGTACGGGTTGTCGGTGATGACGGTGGGTCATCAGATGAAAAGTCAGGCGATTCTATGGCTGGGATTGAATCTGAGCAAAGGGAAAGATCAAAATCAGTGAGCATAATGTGACCGTCCGATCTAACCAACACATTCTCTGGCTTTAAGTCCCTGTAGATGATTCCCAACATGTGGAGGTATTCCAGCGCTACCAATACCTCAGCTGCATAAAACCTGGAAAAATTTACCAAAAAATGATAATATTCAGCACCATATTTAGTGCATTAATAAGGTCTAACGTTATCGAGATTGAAAACTTTATGGGAAACAGAGCAATATATTCTGATGGCTTGTTTAAGAAGAGAAGAGAAACAACCCTCGTATGGTAAATTCCGTTTAAGAAGTCACCAAAACAGGAAAAACACAGAAAGAGAAAAGTGTCATTAATGGAAATTTGCGACAGAATTTCAAATAATAAAACAGATTAATTTATTTAAACCAAGAAATTCTATGAAGGGTATTTTGTTGCAGAAGAAACAAAGAATACAGAGAATCATATCAGAGGAAGAAAAGTGTATTTGATAGACAAGTTTCAGTTAATTTAGCCCTTCAAAAAAAAAATAAACAGCTTTTCTAAATTAAAGAATAATATCTCTGTTAAAGAAACAGACATAAGAGGAGAGAACGTAGAGAGAGAGAGAAATATACCTAGCTGAGGTGAGAGAGAAGCGTTTTTGAGGCTGTTTGTGCCTAAGGGAATGCAAATCACCCCCAGAACAGTATTCCATTACAACACAAGAGAAATGGGAGGCTTCAAATTCAGCATAAAGAGTAGGCAAAAATGGATGGTCCAGCATTCTCATGATGTTTCTTTCAGTTTCAGCTCTCTGGGATTTTTTCTTCATTGCTAAAACTTCATTATCGACTACCTTCATGGCGTAGAGCCGCCCCTCCGCCGTGCTGCGGAGGCGGCAGAGATACACTTTGCCAATGTCTCCACTGCCGATCTGGCGGACCAAATTGAAGTCCCGGAAGCTCATACTCGTCTTTGAGCGAATGGCATGGAGTGAGTAGTCCGATGATCGGTGGGGTTTCAGTGTATGCAGATTTTCTGGCGAGCTATTGGGCAGCTCCAAAGACAATCGGCTAAAACTAGTGCAATGACTAATGGTCGTGTCGCTACTCATGGAGGTTTTGCTGGAACTAAAACCTTCTAAAATCAAATCGTCGGAATTTCTATCAAAGACTAACATTTTACGAACAATTTCTTGTGAAAATGAGTGGAAATTTTTACGAAGTAAGATGAACAGAAGATACCAGTTGAAAATTCCTTGGGAAATGATTTGAAAACAATGGATTTTAGCTTTTGGGGTATTCTTTTACCTTCTCCTGTCGAATCAGATACGAGAAATGGAAAATCAAATGAGAAGAATGAACAGCAAATAAGAATCAAGAACAAAGTCAAAATGTGAAAATTCTTGATCTGGCTTAAACGTAACAAAGCTTTATGGAAGTAAATGGGGAGGTGAGCTTTTCTGCGTAACAGGAAATTCGGGTTCAGTACAGTCAGAGAAAGAAGGAGAGAAGATAGCTAGAAATAATATGGCCACTGTTTATAGCTACGTCTGAATTTATGGTTAGGGAGAGAGAAAGGAGCTGGGGTTAGAAATATGCTGGTCGACTGGTCTACTCAAGGAGTAGAGGGTAGGAATGTTACTAACTAGGGTCCGTTCTCTTTATCATTTTCGAGTTTTCAAAATGGTGAAAGCACGTTCTCTTTCTTATTTTTAAAAATAAATTAAAACTTTAAAAAGAAAACTCAAAATGACAAATTTGTCGTTTTGAGTGTTTTCAGTTATAATTAAGCCAAAAATTTTAAATCGCGTTTTGGGTATTTTCAAGACAATTTTTCAAAATGTCAAAAAGAACACATTTTCAACATTCTCATTTCTCAAAATGGACATTCAAAACACAAAATTCAAAATAAATTCAAAACTCAAAACAAAACTGAAATACAAAGAGAACAACCCCTAAATTTTTTGGAGTAAATTAGAAAACGGGTAAATAGCATACAACGTCCCCACCTTTTACTGTTATTGAGAAAACGTCATTACAATTTATTTTTTGACATTTTTATCCTTATTTTCACATTTCATTGTGCAAAATATATTTCTCATTCATTTTCTCAATTAAGGGTGTGTTTGATGGATATTATTAAGAAAAGAATGTATTTTAAATAGTGATATGATGAAAAATATGTGGTTAAAAAGTAAGAAAAAGTTATTCATGTGATAAAAAAATATTATTTTATTGAAGAATGTGTGGTTGAAAACGAGTTATGAAGTAATGTA